TGTCTTCCAGACTATCCTCTACATCAATGCCAAATTTTATAGAGGTCCAGTCAGCCGTTTAGGCTACAAACATCCATCCATCCATCTAAACTTTCGCAATTATAATATTATAGTAAGAAGTAAGATTTTATTTTTTATGTTTGTCTCTCAATCGCAAATATAAAAATTACCGTTACCATAATAAAATTGATTCCTTAATGTTGGCAACTTGTAGTTTATGGTCTCTTTCTCACATTAAGATTTTTTCCAAATTATTTACCCCCTATGAGAGTAAAAATATATAGCCTAAAGCGTGTCGTAAGTGTAGTACTTTTTATTAATGGAAGAATAGGAAAATATGCTGTGATTGCTGACATCCTAAGCCACGTAGTGTGTTTATGCTTTATTATATTAATATAGCTAAGTATAAATTATAGATGTTATGTATGTAGTTTACCCATAATGATGACGGTGCAGTTGTTGTCCGTGATGAGGCCGTCCCACAAGGACATGAACTGCGTCTTCATCATGGCCGTCGCCTCGTGGTCGTGCTGCGTGCGCGTGCGCAGGAACGACTCTATCTCGTCTGACACACAAATATATTTTATCTGGATTCATATTCATTTATCTATACTTATATTAAAGAGGCAAGATTTGTATTTTTGTTTGTATTGAAATAACTCAAAAACATTAAAAGCCATGTTGTCACTGAGTAATATATACTATTATAAAGCGTAAACACACACTTCTTTGTTGCCTAACATGTCAGCAGTTACAACATATTTTTGAATTATTCCTTTCTTACTTAATAAAAAGCCCTGCACTTACGTCATGCTTTAGGCTATATATTTTCACGCCATTAATCTTAGGGGGTTATGATTTTGAATAAAAACCCTAATGTGGGAAAGAGACCATAAGTTGCTGCCAACATCAAGAAATCAAGGTTGTCATCATGTCATGTCATTTTGACATTTGTAATTGATAGTTTGACAAATGTAAACAATAAAATAAAATTTTCATTTTATGCGGATGATGTCGCATGGGAACAGCTATTAGGGTATATTTTTAATGTTTAAGTTGACGCGGGTGAGGTCGCAAGCAACAGCTACCTCTGGATATACTTCATCTTATAAATATGTTTATCGATTTTTATCAAGGCACCGAATGGCTTCCAAATTTAATTTGACTTATTCTTTAATATAATGTTAAAAATTAAAAAACCAGATACAAACCAACTTATTGATTTTTCTAAACTTATTATTTTAAATTCTATTAGCTTTCGTATGCGACTCCGTCTGCGTGAAATTATAAAATGACTAACTGTTCCCGTGCGGCTTCATCCGCATGAAATTACGTTTTTTTTTACATTTGTCAAATTATTAATAGGAAATGTCAAAATGACATGACGACAAACCTTAGCAATCTTGCTTCCTTGATGTTGGCAGCAACTTATGGTCTCTTTCCCACATTAGGGTCTTAATCCAAAATATTTACCCCCTTAGTTTAATGTCGTGAAAATATATAGCCTAAAGCGTGACGTAAGTGTAGGGCTTTTTATTAAAGAAATGATTTATTTCAAAATTAATGTAATTGCTGACATCTTAGGCAACAAAGAAGTGTGTTTACACTTTATTATAATAGTATAGATAGATATCTTATACTTTACAACTATACCAAATTTCAATGAGATTCATTTAGCAGTAAGCTACAAACTTTAATAAACATCCATCTAAACTTTCACATTTATATAAGTAAAGTCCTTGTTTTTCTTTAATTTAGTTATACACATAACCAAAAATGTAACATTTATTAAAACTTACACAATCTAAAATCTTAACATAGTTTAAGAGTAATTTGTACTTACCAATGAAGACAATGCACGGCTGCAGTTTTACTGCAAGACTGAAGACAGCGGCAGCCAGTTTCTGCGTCTCCCCGTACCACTTGTCAGTAAGGAGCGACACATCCAGGTTGATGAAGCTCATATTAGCTTCTTTAGCGGTTGCTTTTGCGATTAATGTTTTACCACAACCTGGAATAACAGAGATTTTTACTATATTAATAAATAACTATCAAAAATGTATTTACACTCGAAAAACAAAGATATGTGATTAAAAAAAAACATAATAACATTTAAAATCGTATATTTATTCTTTATCTATACTAATACTAGCTGTTCCCATGCGACTCCATCTGCATAAAATTATAAAAATCTCATTTCATTGTTCACATTTGTAAAATAATCAATTACAAATGTCAAAATGACATGACATTACAAACCAAGGCAACCTTGCTTCCTTGATGTTGGCAACAACTTATGGTCTCATTCCCACATTATCCAAAATATCCATAAGTTTAATGGCGATAAAATATATAGCCTAAAGCGTAACGTAAATGTAGGGCTTTTCATTAAGAAAAGAATTATTCAAAAACATGCTGTAATTGTTGACATCTTAGGTAACAAAGAAATGTGTGTTTACCCTTTACTATAATAGTATAGATAAAGAGAAAAGATTTCTAATTTTGGATTTTCTTGTGTATTGAAATAAGTCAAAAACTACTAGGCTGATTTCAAAAATTCTTTCACCATTAAAAAGCTATATTATCTGTGAATAACATAGGCTATAATTTAATAAAACGCAGGCGAAGTCACGACCAACAGCTAGAAATATACTCTAGCGGTCACTCAACTTTGTATACACAGAATTGAATATAAAATTGTTAAAAAAATTTCAGAGATAGATTTATTCATCATTTTTATTGTTCTGGTAAATATAAAAGAACACTGAACAAGAATAATTTTAAATATTATGTAGCAAGTGTGGCTTATGTATTTTTTCATTTACCTGGAGGTCCATGCAACAGTACTCCTTTGGGCGGCTGCGTCAGTCTACTGTCAGCAAAGAGTTCCCGCTTCTGTATAGGCAGAATTACTGTTTCACGAAGTTCCTGAATCAAGTGATCCAATCCAGCTATGTCTTTCCAGTTAACCTATGGAAATAAACAACACAATATGAAATTAATAAAACTTACTATGCCTATGTCTTCTCATATATATTCTACTAGCTCTGTCTATGTGGCTTCATCCGCAGGTACTTAAGAAAAAAATCATTTTATCGCTTACATTTGTTATTTCATCAATTGCAAATATCAAAATGACATGACATGATGGCAATCCATGGTAATCTTGATTCCTTGATGTTAGCAGCAACTTATAGTCTCTTTCCCACATTAGGGTTTTTATCCAATTTTTTTACCAAGTAAGTTTAATAGCGTGAAAATATATAGCATAAAGCGTAAGTGAGTTTAGGGTTTTTTATTTAAAAGAAAAATTAAAAACATGCTGTAATTGCTGACATCTTTGACAACAAAGAATTGTGTGTTTACACTTTATTATAATAGTATAGAAGTATAGATTTCTGTGCTGAATTTTATTGAGATCCATTGAGTTTTGATATTGATATAGACATTCACATTTATAACAATATAAAAGTGCTAACAGTGTATTGATGTGGGGTGCAGATTTCCCACATGGTAAAGGGTATGAATACCACCATTTCACTATTGTCAGAAACCATTCCTAGCACAAACCTAGACCTTAGTTGGAACAATAAAAGAATTTGTAAATTAACAAAATTCTGCTAACACCTTACTAAAACAACAAAAACAATGATGAAACAAGCAAAAAATACATAATTTTCTGACGTGTTATCATAGCACTTTCTGTATGTTATAAAGAGTATTTCTAGTGAAACTCACATTTATCTCATCCGGCACAACAAGCTGTGAAGCGATGATCATCTCATGGTCTGTCAGCTTGTCCAGCGCCACCGAGTGCTTGCCGCCGAGCCCCGCTCTGGAAGACATCCTTCACACATGCAACAGCTACAATGACTTTCTTACAATGTAACTTATGTCACGGTAAAGCAGAGTTTACAGTGATTTAAGTAATGTTTGATTAAAGGGAAATTGGTTCAAATTGTAGGACTTGGCTTTAAGTGTGTTAACATACTAGTAAATTTAAATGATTTACTTTGTAATACTAATTAAATTTCACTACTTACACAGTATTTACAACTTACACTATTTGTCTATTTAGACAGATCTAAAATTAGACTAATATGAAAGAGATCTATTTATAATGTCTTTGTTCTAAGATAATGTTGTATTATTTTGTTGTTTAATGTCAAAATTACAAGATTAAACATAATACTGACCATCTCCTTTACTATTGGATAATATATGAAGTCAAGAGTTGCATTTTGTTATTGCACAAGCTTAAAATACAATTGCATAGTATAAGCTTTAAGTGAAATTGAACATAAAATGTCGGTTTCTTCAACATCTTTTCAATTAATTCTCGAAGAATAAGAAAAGGCGCAAATTTTAAAACATATTGAAAAGAGGTTACCACGATCAATACATACTTGCGTAACTGTTCTCGGGCCCGCTCTTCAGCTTTCTTCCGACTTTTTGATGTAGGGTCTATTTGGTTCACAAGCCATTTTATAGAAAAATATGTTACGGCTGATACAAAAGCAACACGAATTGCCATTTGAAAGACATCGTTTCTGGTGAATGCTGAACCTTCCACCATCATGCCTTATGCAAAATTGTTTTAAAAATGAAGAAAAGGCGGTCACAAATCACAGCCAAAGTATCGACTATTCACGTGTTTATAAAATTTATTAAATTTATTGCAAATAAATCTTTTTTCTAAATCCCAGGCTCAAATCATGCAGGGGAAAATTCTGTCAAAGTCAAAGATTTGTCAAAGATAAAGATTGAATATTATAAAACACCCAGAACAAAGACATTCTGCCTCATGATAGAATGTTGAAAATGGATAGAGTTTAATAAGAATAACTTTTCTGTTTAAGTTTAGTTGTTGTTTATATTTATTTTGAATAGCTAACGTAGAATAATAATTGTAACATCTGGAAAGTGGCTGTAAATGGAAAACTATTTCGTCATAAATAATATTTAAAAATAGTAATGTCAAAGTCATGTGGTGTGAAAATTTGACAGTGACACTAAGCTAACCTTACATTATAGTCAATGTAGTGTTATTACTTTAAAATTTTAATAACAATGAAGAAACCAAAAAGCGGACCTCGTCCTAAATTAGTTAATACACGTAAAGCTGTACGTAAGGAAAAAAGGCAGCAAAAAAAGATACACAGGCAAGAGCACTATAACAAAAAGAAATTGGTCGTGGACGTGAAGAAGTTTGAACCAGGAAAGTTTGTGAAACTTACTACAGTTCAGCATGAAAGTTCAAAGAAAGATAAGGTTGCATTATTTATTTTGTCACAATTCACTTTCTCCTAGAACAATAACAAATACACTTATGAACCTCTTTACCAACTGAAAGTAAACAATTTTTTAACTGTACATTTGTTATTACTTAATTTTGGGGATATATAGTAACAAACATCCATCCAAACTTTAGCACTTATAATATTATTTTTTTCAATCTATGCCAGAAAAAGAACAAAAAGCAGCCATTATTCTTGGACATTCTTAACAAGGAAAGACAAAAAGACATGAATGTAACAGAGAAACTGAAATCAGAAATGGAAGAACAAAGAAAACAAATGTTACTGAAAGCTAATGAAGATGAGGACAAAGTTATTAAAAAATTAGAGAAACAACTTGGTTTGAATAAATCTAAAAATAAAAACAATTATTTTGCTGATGATGGACTTGACTGTATCCTTTTAATCACTTTAGACAACTAAAATCTTACAAATATTATAAATGTTTAGATGGATGTTTGTTAGAGTTTGTAGCCTAAATGACTGAACAGATCTCGATAATTGGCACAGATATCTACATCTGTCTAGATAGCCTGGAAAAACACATGGCTACTTGCTTTTGGTTTATTTAATTCCACCCGGACGGAGTTGCGAGTGAAAGTTATTGTCAAATATTTTTTAATGGAATAGAATTGTATTTGCTACAAAAACAATAATGTTCTTAAAATAATAGATCCTTTTATTAATCCAATTAATATTTTAAATGAATGAATTACATTTTATTAGCTATCGCCCACAACTCCAATGTGGAATTAAAAAGAAAACCAAAAGCAAAGAGCTTACATGTCCTTTTAGACTTAACCTCTTCACAATATTCATTTAGCTAAAAACAACAATCATCCATACATCTAAACTTTTGAAATAACTTTAGTAATATTAGTAAATAACCTTAACAAACTAACACAGATTTGTTAGAAATTTGCGATAGAACCACATCTGAACAGATTGTGGCAGCGGAGAAGCATTTAGCTGATGTGGGAGATTCTGATTTTGAGGAAGATTTGGCTATGGTTACTGGGAAAGAATTACCCAAGGAAAAGGTTAAAAGCAAGGAGAAATCAACAAAAATAAAAGACTTAACGGAATACTCTAAAGATGATAGTATGGGGAGTGATGAAAATTCACTAGATTGTGATGATGATGATGATGATGGAAGTAATAAAGATGAAGGTAATTTTTAAATCTTATTTACTACTGTTTGCATATTAAAAAGAAATTTAAAACCATCTATGATGTGAATTTGAATTTATTGCATGTAATTAAGTATTCAAAAACTACTAAACCAATTACAAAAGTACTTTACCTATTGTTAACATAAGCTATATTTATTACTAGATTTTTAAATTGCAAGTAAAAGTATTAATCATGACAAATTATATCAAAGTACTGTAAAGATCTCTTCTATACTAATGTTATAAAGAGAATGAGGCCGGAGACCTTCTTAAGTGGGAAGGATGGGAAGGAAAAGTAGATTTGATGGTGGATAAACGCAGAGAAAGGGGAAATGTACCCTTTATGTGCGTCTCCTCTGTCAATTGCAGATGTTTATGGGCAGATTATTTATATTACAAAAAAAAGAGAAAATATTTTGATTTTTTTGAAATTCTTGCACCATTAGAGAGCTATGTTATCTCTCAATAACATAGGCTATATTTTTAAGTTTATAACCGCAGTGAATAACTGACTACAATGTTTATAACTCATTTACTAATAATATTTTATATTGAAGTATGTATGTATTTTTGCAAATTAAAAATACTCTATACTGAACTGACAACTTCTTATTTAAGATTTCAGTGATATGGAAAATGTAGAAAGTGATTACGAATCGGAAATGAGTGAAGATGAAGGTAAAAATCAAATAAAACCAGACAAAAAAGAAAAAATAGTATCAGAAAATGATTTAAATAAAGTGTTCAGTGATGACGAAGTTTCGCATATATCTGGTGATAGTGAAGATGGATTTGACTTCGAAAGCGGTAAAGAAACACCAGAAGATTGTAAAACTAAAGAAAAGCCTGATGTTTGGGAGGATATTTATGGCAGGAAGAGAGACAAGGATGGCAATATTATAAAAGTAAGTGCCTTTTATATATAACCAGATGTTGCGATTTCGCCTGCGTAAAATTTATAAAAAAAAAATAGCCTTTGTTACTCGCTTTAGTGTTTTAATGATGAAAGAATATTTTAAATTGATTCAGTAGTTTTTAGTTATTCTAATATTTACTCTTTATAATATTCATTGTTAATATGTAACTTTTTGTTTGAGTACAGTTAAGGAATTTGTTGGTATGCCACTTTAAAACTAAAGCTATTTGCATGTTTTGTATATTAATACATAGCTTTTAAATGTGTTTTTGAATACATTTGGGTTATATTTTTTATTAAAATATTTCAGGAAGAGAAAGGAGTTTATATTCCTCCACATTTAAGAAACAAAGATTCTACCTCTGAGAAAGATTTAGAGCAATTAAAAAGGCAAATTAAGAGTAAGTGTGACTTAATTTTATTATAATGAAATACGCTTCTTAAAAACTTATCTTAACCTTTTGATCTATAAAACTATTATCACAGACATTAAAAATAGATAACCAAAATAAATCCATAGACAATAAACTAGTTTGACAGCAAGATGTGCAATTTAATTCACATTTCCATTGAATTTAACCTTACTTGTAAATGTTATCTGTACCATGCTATAGTAAACTAAAGAGTTTATAATATTATATTATTTATCTGTCTCCAAATTGTACATTAAAAAGTACAATAGTTTTAATCAATTCAAATATACCAAAGTACAAATTAAATTGTAAACAATGGCATTGCTATAACTAAATGTTTCTTTCCAAGGTATTCTAAATAAGGTATCAGGTTCGAATTTGCACTGGGCGTGTGCGTCGTTGGAGAGTTTGTATAGTAGTCACAGTCGGCGTGCGGTGAGCGGCGCGCTGTGTGCGCAGTGGGTGTGCGCCGCTGTACCGCACGCCGCTGCGCCTGACAGACTGCTGGCTGAACACGCTGCCTTGATGGCTTTGCTGCATGCCAACGTCGCCACAGAAGTCGGTAAGTTACCCCCACGTCACATCACAGATGTTACACACTTCACACTCGTAGCAATCATCCACACTTGACATCTTTCACAAACACCTCTCATGTAACAAATATCATAACTACACTTACAAGAGTAGAGTCCTTTTTATATCTACGCACATTTGCCGTGTGCCCCACGCAATATGACCACACAGAAAACACACCAAGTGGAAGCTATTCCTAGCTATTGATGTGCGTACCGGAGACTCATTTTAATTATCTTCCCCTTTGAAGCCTTTTTGAATAATAAAATAAATGGCAAGAGGAAGCAATTTCGTGTGAGAAGAGACATATTTGTAGGGGAAATATCATTCTATCTTTGTTGATTAAAGTTAGCAACGCATTTACAAACGCTTAGGGGTAGCGGCCGCTTTATTATTTCGATTTTCAGATATCCGTTTACTAGTTTGTGACGTAATGACGTAAATATTAAAAATATTAGTCTCATGTCTATCTAGTCAACATTTTAATTAGTGTTAATGTTGGCAGGTGCATATTTCCTGGAGGAGCTGTGTCTGATGTTTGACAAGATGGTGGACAGCGAGTTGCCTGTGGAGGACAAACGACTCGACAACTTGACCGCATGTCTCGCTTATTTATATAGTTTTAAGGTTAGTAAAATATTCTATGTATTGTTACAAAATATTAAAACGATTGTATGTTTTATGGTGTAACACCACTAGATTCCCTGATTGTACTTTTTGTCATCTTTAAAAATATCGTTTTATTTAATTATTTTATGGTTTAAACATGGTTTAAGAATCTTTACTCCTTTTATAAAACTATTTATGGCTCGGACTTCACCAGCGTGATATTAAAAAATAATAAAAAACATAGCCTATGTCACTCACAGATAAATTTCTAACGGTAAAAAAATTTCTAAAATAGGCCCAGTAGTTTTTGAGTTATTTCAATATATACAAAAAATAAAATTTTTATCTCTTTTTAAGAGTATAGATTAATAATTTACTTAACTAATGCTAAATATAACATTATTATAAGAATTCTTCTGGCATTTCATACCAAAATATATATGAAAACACGCCCTGAAGATAGACCTCGGATCCGAAACTATTCGGTTGCCACCGGAAAAATAACCTTAAAAGATAGCCGTTTAATAATTATAAAAAATACGAGCTGTTGCCGGCGACTTCGTTCGCGTGGTACTAGAAAACATACGAACTACATAAATAACAAAAAGCTACGTGTCCCTCGGGAACCGGACATGTCTTGTGGATGAAGTTTATCCCATGTGTACTCCAGGCTTTGTTTTATATCTGTGCCAAATTTCAATATGATATGTTCAACCGTTGCAGAATGATCGAGTAAACATTAAAAAACTAAATTAATGAATCCCACGGGAAACGTAATTTATCCCGGGATCAAAAGTAGCCTATGTGTTCTTCCAAACTATGCTCTAAACCTGTGCCAAATTTTATGGAGATCCGTTCAGCCGTTTAGGCTACAAATGCTAACAAACATCCATCCATCCATCTAAACTTTCGCATTTATAATATTAGTAAGAAGTAAAATATGTCTTCAGATATTCCACAGCGGTCTAATGTACGATATACTATATCGTCTGCTGCACGAGATATCGGAGAAGCGGTGCGGGTGCGCGGTGCGCGCGCTGCGCTGCGCCGGCCCCGCGCTGCGCCGGGAGGACCCCGCGGCGCTCAAGGCCTTCATACACGACACGCACGCCAAAGTCGCCAACTTCAACGATAAAGCTGCGGCCGGGTAAGTACAACTTACACTTACATTACTAAAGATAATGTAATAGGCAATATGCATATGACGCCAAGTTGTACCAAACTTTTTTTAAGTATACTTTATTACTACAAAAACAGTCCTGCAAAGATTTTTTTAAATATAATGTGATTTAGTGGCAAAATTTAATCATTAAAAAGTGTCTTTTTTCAAATTCCCTCTTCTAAAACGCACACTATTGGTAGAAGCAACTGGCTTATCTAATATGGCGTCGCTGTGTTCACAATACACAGTTCATTTACGTTAGTTTATATAGAAATACACTCTTGAAGTATTTTACTGTAAACACGATATCAAAACCAACTTTAAAATAAAAAATTAATGAATAGAATTAATAATTACCACTTATTTGTACCAGGAATAATAAAAATGAACGATTTTTGACTTTTTGACCTTGAGAAACTTTGTTGTGTTTTGTGACATCTGAGCGTAAGTTATGAATGGAATAGACGATTGACGTCAATCGTCTTATGACAACTCCGGTTGCGTTTTAGTCGCTCGAAAATGGTCGTAATTTTATTTTATTATTTTTAGCTCAATGGTTGAATATTTTCGCGTCAATTTTTTTTGTGGTTATTTATAACAAGTAGAATCGTTTAAAAAAAGAAAAAAATACATGCATATTCCCTATTGTGTCTCTAGTATTGAAAATTCATCTCGGTGTTTAGTACTCCTTGGTCTATTTCTCTTAAATAAATGTTTTGAGAAGGAAGCATACGGGGAAAGGCCGACTCTAAAAGTCTAAAAATCCATATGAATAGTTAATAAATTAGAGTTTGTAGCTTACTGCTGAATCGATGACGATAATAATTGGAAAAAATGTTGAGGATAAGATAGGATAGACGAAGTCGTGGGCGAAAGCTAGTGTTAAATAAATATTAAAACCATAAAATATATAACGTCTTAATGACTTCACGCTGAAATTACAAATTGCATTAAAATGTTAACGTATATCAGATTGTAAGCGCTTGTGAAATAGTGTTAAAATTCGTTTCAATATTCTACCGTCAGTTTTTAAACAATCCGTAGACAAGCCTGAGTATGACAGCTACTAAATAACAAAATTATTGATTTATCATCAACGCTTAATTAGAATTCATGTGAAAATATCGTGCTCGAAGGACCAAGTTTTAAAACCCATGTTTAGGTAATAAGTAATTTTGTACTAGCTTTTTAAGTCCAATATTTATAATATAGTTTTTGTCACATATTAATTATATTTCCATCATTAATTAAAACAAGACTTGGTATATATTTATTGCTTTTTCTTTAACGAAGTTCTTTAATCTAGATCCCGTATAAAGTTCCTGCTAGAAGTACTGCTGGCGGTGAAGAACAACAACTTGAGTAAAATCCCGCAGTACGAGCCTACGTACGCGGAGACACTTAGAAAGACTTGCCGCAGCATCCTGCGCCCGGGACATACTGTCACCACACTCAACATCCGCCTGGAAGACCTGCTTAGGGGTACTCTTTAAACCATCTAGAATCATCTAGTATCTAAGGAAGCTTGGACACTAAAAACTAAGATTGAAAACTACCCTTTTAAAGGTCCCTTAGTGGTTAGTTGAAATTAAACGGTTTGTGACTTTTTTTCTCGCAAGCAATGGAATAAAATAAGTGGCCAAAATCAGTATTTTCATATAATAATGTGGGTGTCTTCAAAAGAAAGGTGCTAGCACTTAAGTTAGCGTTTACTACTTAAGTTCTGGTGGGACTGCGGCGTCCCTGCATTAGCTGAGCTTGTCACCTTTTGCCACATTTCTTTTTTTACTCTACGGTTGTATATAAGATGTCATATGTTTTTTGTGGCAATGAACATTTATTTTTTGAAATAAAAACTAAATTACTCAGTACTTGAATTCCTAGTGTTTTGTGAATTAGACGTAACGCTTATCAATGCGTTAGATTGTTAATATAGAATTTGTTTTTTTTTGTGATTGAATGGCCATTATTTGCCTTCAAGAGACATTTACAGATACACTGGCCTTGAGGTGGCCGAGCTCAGATGGCGCTTAGCCTGAACCTCGTTTATGAGTAACTAAGCTCAAGGGCTCCCTCAGGAACCTCACGGGTCGTTATTTCGTTATTATTACCGGATTGGGATATTATTTATTGTTCTTATGTATATTATAGCTGAGGAGAGAGGTAAGTGGTGGATAGTGGGGTCGGCGTGGGCGGGCAGCCGGCCGCCGCCCGCAGCCGCGCCCTCAGCCGCGCCCGCAGCCGACCACAAGCTGCTGGAGCTGGCGAGGAAGCAGCGAATGAACACTGATGTCAGAAGAAACATATTCTGCGTCATCATGTCTGCTCAGGTAATGTTTACCAATGTAATTAAGAGGAATGATTTGTATTTTTGTATGGAGGCCTAATTTTAGTCCCTTTTCCTTTCCACCCTTTTCTTAAAAGGAAAGGATGGGAAG